GTGCCAACAGCAGGTGCTTCTGGGTACTGGGAGGCGCTTCCTCCCACTGCTCAAAGAGATGTTTGATAATTGGTGATTTAAGGTTGTAAGTAAAAGTGAGAATGGATGGTTGTCTGTCTCTATGCACGAACTGTCCTGTGTATCACATCTCAGGGAAAAAAAGCACCAAAATGTGCGCTGCTTTTCGGTCTGGTTACTACCGTTTAAGTCAGAACCGGTGCCATACCGGTACCCATCCCTACCTGAAGCAGTCTTGGTCAAAAGCCTGACAAAACTACTCCCAGATCCACGGGCTGAGGTCCAGTCCCTCCTCATGCCTGCCTTCAGGGTGGGGGGCCACCTGGACATTTGGCCCCTGGCTTTTTGCCCTCCATATGGGTGTCTGGCCTCTCACCATGGACCGGTTTGCCTTGCTAGAGTCTATCAAGGCCCCAAACAACACACACACCCCTCCATCACAGTTAGGTGAGTTTTCCATTTCTTTTTTTAATTAATTAAAATGTATTTTTGCAATTATTGTACACGACGCTGTTCTGAGGGTACAGGACTGGACACGTGTGAACAACAACGCTGGGATATGTGGAGCAGGCATGAAACAGGTGAGCAACATCAGCTAGTTTATTCTTACCTTCATCACCATCACGGCTCAGTCATGAAGTCGATCCAGTTTTATTTATTTAGCACCTTACAACAACAGTTACTTTAAACTTGTTTGTATTTCTGCTGCTACCTGTCTTCTATCTGAAGGTTTTTAGGTGGGATTCATTTATTTTGGTTATGGAATTGTTGCCTGCTGTATTTGGAATACCTGGAATACCTAGTGATGGCGGCGACCAACTTTAATAACTGCCAGCCATCTCTAACAGCAAACACTTATTTTCCCCAGTGACCAGTCGGTCTGTGACCTCATCGAGCACCTTTCCTACAGACACAGCTTGAAACAGTTTTATTTATCGATCGATTTATTTTGCATGAGAGGTCAAAAAAAACTGGGGAAGTCTGCAGTCTTCCTCTAACCATCATCAGCTATTTTTAGTTCAAATAATGAATAAGACCAACAAGTCCACAGTAAGACAGCGAGAACCTCCACTAGAAAGAGAGAGTGGTAAAAAAAGAAAAACAGCACTCGGACACACCTGATTGCAGCTGCAGTGACAGACGCTTGGTAATATTTTACCAGACGTCCGATATGAAAGTTGCTTCCTTCCTGTGGACCGTTTGGTATCCAAGCATGCAAATGAGCTTTGCTGTTCGACGCTAAATGAAAAACGGGGAGTGTGGCGAGTGGGTGAAAGCAGACGACAGAGCACATTCCACGAGAAAGTACATTCATCAGTAACGTCTGCCTCCCAGGAACAGCGGCCACTTCCTCCAAAGGCTCTGCAGCCACGCGAGCACATTTACAAGCTGAATGAGATCCAACCACCACAGCGACTGGTAAACAAACAAACAACAAAAAAGATTTCAGGGTGGAGTTTCCCACCTTCACACCAACAGGCTTTACTTACAGAACAGACAGTTTGGTAACCTGATTTCTAAACCATTACTGGTGATTTACATGCAGGTCTTTCCTGATTTTTATTCACTAGGCTGTAAACTACCTACTTTTTAAGAGTCTGTAAACACTGATGCAAACTGTGTCCATGGTGCATCCTGCTAACGTCCGGTAGTCGTCCATATACACCACAGAAGAAGAAGATCCAGACGCTGTTTGATCTTCCTTGAATGTCAAGCGATGCTGACATGTTTGCATTTTAACTCCGTTTATTGTAGTTCAGGACAGTCCAGCACATTCACTACAGTTCAGTCAGAGTCCGCTGCTGCACAGCTGTGCAGTCACACTCGTTTAGTTCAGCAGGTTTAGTCATCCTCTGAACTCCATGTGTCGAGTAAATGAACTGCTCTAGGTCCCCGGAGCAAATATTACACCCTTAGTTCAGTCCTGAAATAAATAAACATTTAATAAATTAAAGGTAGATCATAGAAAAGTGCAGTCCTTACTCCTATATGACAGCTACAGGTAACAGTTTCTCCATAAATTATGATTCTACGCGTCATTTTTCTTTGCGGAGAGACTTTTCCATGTGATGAAGTCATGTTATAAAAACAAATAAACATCGTCCATATTAAAGTTTTAGATCCTTACAGATGCTTCGGTAACACTTTATCAGTTTCTAGCTTGAGTGAGTCACAAATACTGTGGCATCAAATATGCAGAGGAGGCAAAACCGCAGACAGTCGTCACTTTAGGAGAACGACGGACACTCGTGGTGAAAACTGCTGATTAAACTTCTTAAGTAAAAGTGAAAATGCACAGAAATGTAAACTGAGCCTCGTGACTGCTGAAACACCGAAATAGTAAAAGAACACAGTCGGGGATTAAAGTGGGATTTGGCAGGTGTAAAACTCTCAGATCAGCTGTGCGGCTGGAGTGTGGGGAAACCGAAATAAGCTCCATTCATTTTGATTTACAGGCTGTGATCGACTGACTTGTGTTGCTGCTGCTCTTTGTGAATTTAACAAGATGTAACACTGAGCATGAACGCAACAGGTTCTCTGCAGCAGGCAAACATCGTGCACTACTTTAAACTTAAGCAGTGCTGTAGATGAACCAAGTCAGCACTAAGCTGCTCTTTTAACCTTTTAATAACACAAAGTCAGAATCCTTCGATTAGTCTTGCAGATGCATGATGGATGGATCCAAAAACTCAAAACTGCATTTAAATGTCAAAGGAGCTTGCAAAGAAAAGCGTCTGGACTTCTTTAAGTTACTTGAAGACGTTTCACCTTCACCCGAGAAGCTTCTTCAGTTCTAAGGTCAAATGGTGGAGAGTCCCAGAT